CCAAACACAGACTGACACAGTCTCCAAACACAGACTGACACAGTCACCAAACACAGACTGACACAGCTTGACACACACAGTCACCAAGCACAGACTGTCCACTCACTTGAGTGTCTTCACATCCACCACCATGGAGTGTAGATAACTCTCCATAAGTCCGTCATTGAGGGCCAGCCTCACCCACGCCTGAAAAACACACACATATACACACAAAGGTCAGAGGTCACTGGACCAATGTCCACTTACATCTCACTTAAGGTTATGTTTTTAGATAAACAGAAGCACATCAACACAATAGTGGCCAATTCTAGTAAGAGTTTTACGGTACTTGCACTACAATAGTGCGGAACGGAAGATCAGAGGTGTTACGTGAGGGATGTTGAATCGCTCTCACCCCAGATTGGTCCTGACAGGCAGGGTCAGAAGTCCACCTGCTAAATGATCAAAATTGTGTTAATGTGGATGTAAAACTTTCATTAAAAAATTTCTTTTTTTTAAAATTCAGAGCTAATAGAACATAGGAGACACCCCAAGTAATCTGAAACACCTTATACTATCAACACAATCTAAAAATGACAAAAAACGTCATTAAATGGGTCATTAAATCAAAACTATTTTGATAGCTTTTCATCTAATAAATGAACTTTCGGTATAACAGACTTGTTTTCGGTAATTGCCGAAAAGTAATTTGATGCCGAAGTAGTCGTAAAAAAACGAGTCCGAGCCCCTGTGGTCATCGGCTCACCGGCACAGTTGTTCTAACCGCGAGCCGCTGGGAGCGGCTTGCCGGAGATAAAAAGTTAAACCAAACCAGTCGAGCTCTCCAGAGGGCAGAATTAGAACTGACCGGTGGTCAGAAAGTGCACACGTACCCGACAGAGGCCGACATCGGTGGCAATCTGGGCCAGAGACTTGAGCTGAGTGACCACATCTCCGTGGGTGAACTTGGCTGCCACGCTCCAGAAGTTCTGGGGACAGTCCGCATGTCACACACTGTCACAACACACTGTCATAACACACTGACAGAGCACACATGTCACACATTGATAAAACACCCTGACACAACACACTGATAAAACACCCTGACACAACACACTGATAAAACACATTGACACAACACACTGATAAAACACCCTGACAAAACACACTGATAAAACACCCTGAC